GGCTGGGGAGGGTAAAAATGAGCAAAAAACAGGTCATTTTTTTGCTAATTTTGCCCCCCCAAGTCCGCAGGAGCACTCTACAAGCCTTCCAAAGCGCTGCATGCCCCCCCCTTTTTTTTGCAAAAAAAAAAAAAAAAGAGGCGTGCAGAGGGTTTGGGAGACCTGCAGAGTGCAAAACCTTTTTTTTAAAAAAATTCCTCTTCAAAATCATGGTGGGTCTTATAGTTCAAAAAATACAGTACTTAAAATGCAATCACATCTACTGCCTTCCCCATATTCTCTCTCACATACACATACACACATAATCATAAATCCAATTGTGATACCTTCTCTGCCTCATTATCTATACATAGTATCCAGAATGTCCTATATTATTAGAGAGATGTATTTTGGGACAATGGGCCCATAAGGTCAGTGGAGCAAATATGGATGTAAAGCCTTTCACCTTTGCTTTTGACACGTTTGCCTTTGTTTTCTTCATTCACGTGGAAGACGGAGGTTGAGTCTTTTTTCAGAGTCTTTGTAGTTGCTGCCTTGGTACCAGCTTCCGCCTTGTTTCCTGTTCCTGGTAAAAGAATGGGAATAGGAATCATTAAGCGAATGCTGTGGCCATTAAGCAAATCCATTTTACCCAATGGGTGGGCTTTTTTTTGGCCTGAAATTGGAAGTAAAGGCTAGAAATTGGCACACAAAGTCAAAAATTGTGGTCATGTGACCTCAAGATGCTGCAAATGACTGTAAAGATGAGCTGGTTGCCAGCTTCTGAAAAGTTATCATGCAACCAGGGGAGTGCAGTTGTCATAACTTCAAAATTGGATCAAAATTAGTTTTGGGGGGATTTGGTGTAACTTTGGTTGCTAAGCAACCAGCCGCAAGTTGAGGACAACCTGTACAGATATACAACTGGTTTTGTTTGTTTCCATTTGTTAAGTCCTACTCTTTATCATGTACTCTTTCATTTCAAGTTGCAATCTTCCTTTTGTTCATCCTCCTTACCCAAATAACAAAGTAGTTTTTCAGACAGAAAATGGTCCGTCACCCATGCATGAAAGATCTGAGCAATATCGCTATATAATCAAGTATAATTACAGTCATTAGTATGTATCAGGAAGAACAATAAACATTAAACAATATTTAATTGAAATCCTCTTCTATTATTAAAATTCTATGACATATGTGGTGCTGAAGACTATGACTCATNTTCAAAGTTAGTGAGACACTTATGACCATTTTTCACACTTATGACCGTTGCAGTATTCCCCAGGGTCATGTGATTTACATTCAGATCCTTGTCCACTGACTCACAATTTCGACGGTTGCATTGTCCCGGAGTGATGTGATCGTCCTTTACGACCTTCTGACAAGCACAAGAGAATGAGGACGCCAGATTCCCATGTGACTCGCTTTACAATGGCAGCGATTCATTAAACAAAAGTGGCAAGAAAGAGGGTAAACTGGGACAAAACTCACTTAACAAACATCTCACTTAGCAATGGAATTTTGGGCTCAATTGTGGTCGTAAGTCGAGGACTTCTTGTAATGCCCTCTTTGTCCCCTTCTCTTTTCCAGAATGGCTCCGCTCGCCGAGCCGTGGCCGCCCAGCCGGGCCGGAAGAGAAAATCCAACTGTCTCGGGACAGATGAGGTACATATCCGGGCCGGGAAGTTGGTGGCACCCATCTCCATTGCCGCTTGGGAGGGCAGCACGCCTGGCTGCTTCTCCCATCCCGAACGGACCCCCTTTTCGATTCTTGCAAGCAGGATTCCCAGGACAGCTCGGACGGGATCCCGTCGGCGCCCCGCATGACGGGCAGCTTGGTCTCAGACCGGAGCCACGATGACATCGTCACCCGCATGAAGAACATCGAATGCATCGAACTCGGGCGCCACCGCCTCAAACCCTGGTACTTCTCGCCCTACCCTCAGGAGCTCACCGCCCTCCCCGTCGTCTACCTCTGCGAATTCTGCCTTAAGTATGTCAAGAGCCTCAAATGCCTCCAGAGGCACCTGGTAAGGGGTCCCCCATTCCTCCACCGCCTCACCACCAATCCAGCCTTGGATCAAAGTCGTCCCAATCCCCTCTTCAATTATTTGCAATGATCCCATATCAGCTGAAGGATAGCAATAGCCCTTAGACTTATATACCGCTTCGCAGTGCTTTTACAGCCCTCTCTAAGCGGTTTACAGAGTCAGCCTCTTGCCCCCAACAATCTGGATCCTCATTTGACCCACCTCGGAAGGCTGAGTCAACCTTGAGCCGGTCAGGATCAAACTCCTGGCAATGGGCAGAGTTAGCCTGCAATACTGCATTCTAACCACTGTAAGGAACATAGCAATAGCACTTAGACTTATATACTGCTTCACAGTGCTCTTACAGCCCTCTAAGCGGTTTACAAAGTCAGCCTCTTGCCCCCAACAATCGGGATCCTCATTTTACCCACCTTGGAAGGATGGAAGGCTAAGTCACCCTTGAGCCGGTCAAAATCGGACTCCAGGCAGTGGGCAGGGTTAGCCTCCCATACTGCATTCTAACCACTGCACGAACCTGTCTCGTCCACTCTCCCATCGTCCCCAGCCCACCCCACCGCTCTGCCTGCCTCTTCTTTCTGGTTTCAGTGTAGTTTTTAAAATCTTCTCTGTCGTTTTGATCTTCCTTTTATTTGACTCAAAATCCTCATCCCTGCCGTTTTAATGTTTTCATCCTTCTTCCGTTGGGTTTTTAAAATCCTCACCTATTTTTTTAATGTTTTAAACTTCTACCTAGGTTAAAATCTTCGTCTCTAGTCTTAACGTTTTAAGCATTCCTCTGTTTAACAGAATCCTTGATTGAAGCACCATTTTTCTTTGTGAGAAAAAAAAAACAATCCAACTCCGTGGTTTCCTTTCCTGCAGATGAAGTGCGATTTGAGGCACCCTCCGGGGAACGAAATCTACCGCAAAGGGACCATTTCCTTCTTTGAGATCGACGGCCGGAAGAACAAGGCAAGCAAAAGTTTGATAATAATAAAATACCTTAGTGGTGCATCAAGTCTTCCGCAGTCTGGAATCCGCCTACATTTCTCAGAGTTCCTTGCCTGTCCCATTCATGGGGAAATCCGTTCTCGCTCACGTTAAACATGCCACTTTCTGCGTGTATTTTTGTTCTGGATATTGAATGACGGGCCTCTAGTGTAAAGTTTCAAAGGCACACGGTGGCTCAGTGGCTAATAATCCTGACAGGTAGGACTCAAAGAAAGGTGAAAATGCAGCAGGTGCCCAGTAGAAAAAGGCATTCAAACCAAGATCCAAGTTTCTAGCCCTCAGGGAAACCGTTCAGCCTTTGCTCGGCTTCTTTCCCGCACTCCTCCCCAAAACCATTTTGTCTGTCCCAATATTATATTTTAAGCATGTGGCTCAGTGGCTAAGACGCTGAGCTTGTGGATCCGAAAGGTCGGCAGTTCGAATCCCTAGCGCTGCGTAACGGAGTGAGCTCCCGTTCCTTGTCCCAGCTTCTGCCAACCTAGCAGTTTTGAAAGCAGGTAAAAACTGCAAGTAGAAAAATAGGAACCACCTTTGGTGGGAAGGGAACAGCGTTCCGTGCGCCTTCGGTGTTGAGTCATGCCGGCCACATGACCACGGAGANAAAAATCATTGATTTTTATCTACCCTGAATAAGAAAAACTCCTAACTTGCCGTTTCCAGTGCCGTTCTGACGGCCACTAAGTGAATTGTTGTAAGTCGAGGACTGCTTGTATTCCGGGTAAAGCAGCTTTCCTAAGTCGTTTCCCCCACCCCCTTGATCAAAGTTGTGGTGGCACAAGGATACAAGGATGGGTTTCTAACAGGTGAGCCAGGGTAGAATCAGTCCTTCTTTAACTCAGCAACTTAAAAGATGAATGGACTTCAACTCCCAGAATCCCCTCGCAAGCTTCAATTTAAGATGGGTGGGCTTCAACTCTGACAATCCCCCAGCCAATATGATGGCTGAGGAATTCTGGGAGTTGAAGTCCACCCACCGTAAAATATGGTGGCTGAAGGATTCTGGGAGTCGAGGTCCACACCTCTTAAAACATGCTTGCTGGGAGTCAAAGCCCATTAAAGCATGTTGGCTGGGGAATTCTGGGAGTTGAAGTCCACCCGTCTCTTAAAAGTTGAGAAACACTGCTCCAGAGAGAGCCAGCCAATCAGAGGCCTCGTATGACCCTTCTTCTCACCCCCGCCCCCAACTTCATTCACCTGGACAGTAGCTGCAGAGATCCCTCCCACCGATCCCAGGCCGAGTCTCCCCATATTTTGCGATGCTGGTGGAAAATTGGGGAGGGGAAGAAGAGAGGAGGAGGAAGAGGAGGCAGCCTTCCTCCCCCCCCCCCCTAGAACTTGTTTGCTTTGGTCTCTTCCAGAAACGGAAGGTGGAAGTGGTTTCCCCCGCAACCCCCATCCCTGTTGTGAGCGAGACAACACAGGCCTCGGTTTTTCCCCAGGTAAGTGCATGAAAAGAAACACAGGTGCGATCCACGGCTAAGATTGAGCCCCAAAGCTTTTTGTGGCTAAAGTGAGACATTTGCGAGTTTGTCCCTATTTTACCGACTTTCTTGCCACCCTTAAGTGAATCGCTTGCAGTTGTTGAGGGAGCAACACGGTCGTTAAGCGAATCTGGCTTCCCCATTGACTTGGCTCGTCGGAAGGTCGCAAAAGCGGATCACGTGACCCTCCCGGGGACACTGCAAACCGTCATAAATACGAGTCAGTTGCCAAGCGCCTGAAATGTGATCACGTGACCCTGGGGGATGCTGCGACGGTCGTAAGTGTGAAGAGCGGTCATAAGTCACTTTTTTTCAGTGCCGTTGTAACTTTGGACGGTCACTGAATGAACTGTGGTAAGTGCTCTTTCCCCATGGGGCGCCCTCCAGACGCATCGGTGCCAGCCACAACTCAGGGATTCTAGCCTACCCCGTATCCAGGTCGTCCACTGGGGAAAAACTGAGCCAAAAGACGCCACTGCGTGGAAGGCTGAGTGCATGTGCGCGCCCGCTTACATTTGCAAACGGGTAGCGAAGGTAAGTGGACAGGACACTGTCAGAGTTTGTTGCAAAAATCAAATCCAGAAAAGCACCCACAGATCACTGATTCAGCAGGATTCATTATTATTATTATTTATTTATTTGTTTGTTTGTTTGTTTGTCTTGTATGCCGCCCACTCCCGGAGGACTCCGGGCGGCTCACAAAATTCATGAACTTCTTTATATGCATAATAACACAGGAGTAAAATGTACAATACCAACAGCAGATCCTTCCAACGTGATAGAGAGGAGAGATTGAGGTTTCAGTTCAGCAGAGCAGACAAGTTTCAGTTTCAGTTTCAGTTTAGTGCTCGGAGCTTAATACAGACAAAGAGAACCTCCTCTATAGAGCGGAGTTAAGCTAAGCCTAAGCCACGCCCAGGCACCAAACTCTTTTCAGTTTCCAAACAACCCTCATTGGCTGATTTAGTTGCTATGCCTATTCATTGGCTGGCCTTGTTACCACGTCTCTGCCGGTTCATGAATATGCTGACAAATACCCCCCCTGCTTCAAAGCCATTTCTGACCCTATCAAAGCCGTAAGAAGACCCCAAAAATGTTCCCATTCAGGTGCCCCCTCCTAAAATCAGCTCAACCCCCCTGTAAAGTTCTTTTAGTAACCGTTCAAAGTTAGTGAGACACTTATGACCATTTTTCACACTTATGACCGTTGCAGTATTCCCCAGGGTCATGTGATTTNGTCTTATAGTTCAAAAAATACAGTACTTAAAATGCAATCACATCTACTGCCTTCCCCATATTCTCTCACATACACATACACACATAATCATAAATCCAATTGTGATACCTTCTCTGCCTCATTATCTATACATAGTATCCAGAATGTCCTATATTATTAGAGAGATGTATTTTGGGACAATGGGCCCATAAGGTCAGTGGAGCAAATATGGATGTAAAGCCTTTCACCTTTGCTTTTGACACGTTTGCCTTTGTTTTCTTCATTCACGTGGAAGACGGAGGTTGAGTCTTTTTTCAGAGTCTTTGTAGTTGCTGCCTTGGTACCAGCTTCCGCCTTGTTTCCTGTTCCTGGTAAAAGAATGGGAATAGGAATCATTAAGCGAATGCTGTGGCCATTAAGCAAATCCATTTTACCCAATGGGTGGGCTTTTTTTTGGCCTGAAATTGGAAGTAAAGGCTAGAAATTGGCACACAAAGTCAAAAATTGTGGTCATGTGACCTCAAGATGCTGCAAATGACTGTAAAGATGAGCTGGTTGCCAGCTTCTGAAAAGTTATCATGCAACCAGGGGAGTGCAGTTGTCATAACTTCAAAATTGGATCAAAATTAGTTTTGGGGGGATTTGGTGTAACTTTGGTTGCTAAGCAACCAGCCGCAAGTTGAGGACAACCTGTACAGATATACAACTGGTTTTGTTTGTTTCCATTTGTTAAGTCCTACTCTTTATCATGTACTCTTTCATTTCAAGTTGCAATCTTCCTTTTGTTCATCCTCCTTACCCAAATAACAAAGTAGTTTTTCAGACAGAAAATGGTCCGTCACCCATGCATGAAAGATCTGAGCAATATCGCTATATAATCAAGTATAATTACAGTCATTAGTATGTATCAGGAAGAACAATAAACATTAAACAATATTTAATTGAAATCCTCTTCTATTATTAAAATTCTATGACATATGTGGTGCTGAAGACTATGACTCATGCCCTTGTCATCTTTCAGAAATCTGCAATTTGCTTCATGTGAAGTAACTCAGGAACTGCAGCTGGAAGAAACTGCCTGCTTGCTGAGCTGACTTAATCCTGCAAGTTCATTGCATGGGCTGAGGCTGCATAGATATGTGGCCCTCATTTCATTCAGTCAATCAGAATAGAGCTGGAAGGGATCTTGGAGGTCTTCTAGTCCAGCCCCCTGCTCAAGCAGGAGACCCTATACAATTTGAGACAAGTGGCTTTCCAGGCTCTTCTTAAAAACCTCCAGTGATGAAGCACCCACAACTTCTGGAGGCAAGCTGTTCCGCTGGCTAATTGTCCTCAATATTAGGAAGTTTCTCCTTAATTCCAGGTTGCTTCTCTCTTTGATTTGTTTCCATCTAGTGTTCCTTTTCTTGCCTTCTTTTTGCCTTATTTTGGAAAATAAGTTGGCAGCCCCTCAAATACTGGAGCCATGTCACCCCTAGTCCTTCTTTTCTCTAGACTAGCCATTCCCAGTTCCTGCATTCCAGATCTTTGTTCTTCATTCACTCCAGACCTTCTGCTCACCTTGCACAGCCTAACATGGAAAGAAAGCATTAGATGCCCACCCTGGAGGAAATTGGAGGACTGGGACTCCTGTTACAAAAGTAATCACCTTCTTTTGGGCAGCTTTCAAGAAACATATTCCCTCCCCAAGGGCATCCAAGCAGAAAGGTCTTTGTAAGTTTAGCAATACATTTTACGAACAATATTAGTCACTGTATTTATTAATCTCTTTTAATTTCATTTTTTTACACGCTGTAATTTTATACACATAAGCCAATGGAGTCATGAGGGGGAAGTTGCATAGGATACAAATATAGCAATAGCATTTAGGTTATATATTGTCCTATAGCACTACAGCACTGACTGGGCAATAATGTTTGCATATTGCCCCCAACTGTCTGGCTCCTCATTTTACCGACCTCAGAAAGATGGAAGGCTGAGTCAACCTTGAGGCCCTTCAGAATCAAACTCCAGGCTGTGGGCAGAATTTGCCTGTAACACAGCATTCTAACCACTGCACCACCAGGGCTCCTCAGATGCTAAATAAAAAAAACATTTAGGTGAAGGGAGAGAGGAAGTTACGCTTTTAGCTATGAAGGAGAAAAGTGATTGCTTGTTTTGCATCT